TAGGTAAAATTTTAATTACTAACATGTAAAATAAGTCTATGCAAGCTTTCCCAACTTTGAAGTTTTTATTTAGTCACTTGGTACTGTTAAAATGGGAAGAAAAAATTCCCTATGTTGAGTATAAAGTTTTGTTATTGCTATGCTAGAAAAAACTTAGTAATGAAGAAGATAGTGAACCACCTGGCATGTACACTTCCCCATTTAGCCCATCACAATTCTCCCTTTCTTTCTCAACTCTCAAACATTTAGGAGTAGTTACTCAGAAAGAAAGAGTTTGGCTCTGGAATTGGCTTAGCTGGATTAAAATTCTGCCCCTTCCCCCCTTCCAAGCTGGTTAACCTTGGCAAGATGTATATTTACTTGAAGTAACAGCTTTCTCCTTTGCAAAGTAAGATGAGAGTACTTATCAAGTTTTTAAGAATCCATGAATACTGTTCCTATCACTTAGTGAATGCTCAACCACTCTCCAGGATCACTTTCTGTGACTCAGTCATGTGATTTTCATCATGTGTTGCTTTTCATTGCAGGTCTAAGGTTTTTGTCCCCATACCAGCTGAACTTGTAATATATGTTAGCATACCTTGCATATTTTAGATACAATAAACATTTGTGAATAAAAATAATGACCCTTAGAAATACTTCCTACCACCCCCTTTTTCCATGTGAATGTTTCTTTTGCTGTATGAAAGCTGTGGCCTTGGTATTTTAGTAAAATAGTACTTTGCATAGCTAAAGAAACTATAACTAAAAATGAAAACACACTACTGAAAACACCCTACTGCAAATGGGAGAAAATATTTGTATACCACATCTGAAACAAGGCCCATATCAAAGACTTATAAAAAACTCATAGAACTCGACAAAAAAGAAAACCAGATGAAACATGGGCAGAAGGGTTAAGTAGCCACTTCTTCAAGGAAGATAAAAACCATGACCTTGACCATGAGTGTGTTGCTACAACCTGTCCCTAGTTGGAACAGCCTATATTTCTCCTTCATCCTCTGTCCCTTTGGTCAGGACAACAAAAACTAGTAATAAAGGAAACCCACAGGCTGGAGAAGACAATCGTCACCAGTCTTGGCAGTTCAAACAATCTTTGCTATATCTCAAGACTTGGTGAACTATGTTTGTTTCTTTGTTTATTGTGATTGTAGAACACCCACAGAACCCTTAAAGTTTTCTCCCTAGACTAAGCAATGAAAGATGAAAGAAGATGCCAGGAGGAACCTCTTTGCTTTTTTCTCCCAGTCAAAGATTACACTGAAGGAAACTTAACGACCATCCAGTCCACCTACTCATTTTCCAGCCAAGAAAAATGAAGCCCAGAGAACAGATGGGCTGCCTTGCCAGTCAGATGGGGATTAAAAATATATATGAAACATACACACACACAAATATATATACTTTTTCTGTGAGCTTTAGTGAAAGTGACCAGTGTTTTCTTCTTTCCTAGCTTCTCAAATTCAGGATCCAGTCAAATATATTACTCAGGCTCACACTATTCCTTACACCTTCTTACCTCTACATCATTGCCCCCATCACTGAGGAAGCCATATTCCACTTCCCAAATCCCCAACTTTCATCTTTTGAAATCATTTTCGTCTACGTTATTTGCCCAAATATGCCATCTTTTGGAGAAAAATTTCCCCCATGAAATGAAATTTTTTCTCTTCACAACAATAACAACAACTATACTGTGGATCATGTGGTTTGCTATTGTGGATCATGTGGTTTGCTTATATTTGACTTCATTTAGTATTCAAAATAACAATGTGGCATTGATACTATCTTTACATTGATACTATCTTTCCACATTTTACAAATGGGGAAACTGAGGCATGCAGAGGTTAAGTTGCTGATCAAGGGACACTCAGCTAGCAAGTGGTCTAATGGTTTATTATAAATATGCCACATATTATAATCTAAAATAAGAAATCAGATTCTTTAATAAAGTTTAACCCCCCCAAGCAAACATTAACATATATATAATATATAAAAGCAATATATAATATTCTAACTAGTGGATACTTTAACTTTCAGATGTAGGCATATAGAAAACATAGTAGAGACTCTTCTTTCAGGATGAAATTCAATGACTGAGTTCCACACCTCTCACATGACATCTGTTCAGGGCCAAACTGGTTAACAGTAAAAATACTCTTTGTACATTACCAGAAGGTAGATGAGCCCACCTCTTGGAAATTTAACCTGAGCTTCTGGATTTGACTATCACAGTTTGGAGAGTGTTCTGGATCCCATAAATTGTCTATAATTTACAAGAAAGGTCAATGCTGTTCGGAGATACTGTGGAGGCAAAAGAGCTTCCGGATTATAGAAGTAGAAGAAGCATTTCTGAAAAGAGGAGATGCATCTGTTGGGGCTTGGGGTAGAGTAGTTTTTTGGGGCCTCCATTCTTACTCTTTTTGGGGAGTGTGGGTATGATGAGAAGGTATCTTTAAATTTTTACGATGCCCTTGTCCCTAAAGAGTTAAAGAAGGTTGGAGATTTAGCCCCATCCCTGCCTCCTGGAACTTGACAGTGAAGAAATAGGACATTTTAACCAATGAAGTGACTTTATCCAAAGCCACATAGTTGGAACTGGGATTAATGAGAATCCGGTTCTTATTTTGGTTTATGGTCCTTCCACATTAGTTCAAACAATATTCTATTAAAGTGATGACTGTTACAAGGAAGGGTCCACACAAAAACCCAACATCCATCATGACCTGTGGGAGCAGTGCATTGTCATCTGCCTCCAATTAACTTTATACAAGAAGTAATCCTTTTCCTATGCTTTCCTTGGTTCTTTGTGTTGCAACTTTCTTTTTAGAAGGAAAGAACTGAATTGTGTATTTTTCTCACTCCAGATTGAGGAAGGACAGTTAAGCTGACCTAAAGTTAATACTACTTTTTCCTTGTTATTAAAGGTCTTTTATTCTTTGAGAACTCTAAAGTCTTTCTACCTTCTATATCTTAGGTCACCAGCACCAGGCCACCAGAAGTTCAAAAATTATGTAAGCAAGAGAATTTTATTCTCTTGGGGAACTATCATCATTCCTTGGTGCCTTAAAGTTTATGCAGTATAGGTCTGATTTGAATGGCAAAACTCACTTGTACAGGAACAGAGAATTATAATCCTTATTTTACAGGTAATGAGACCAGGGATTTTTAAGTAGATGTTACTCCTAAGCAAAAGAGCGGCAACTTGTGTTTAACCCTGGATTTTATCAAGAACTTATTTTTAGGGTGGTAAAAATGGGGATCAAAGTCTTTGGGAGATATCAAATGTAGGATACATTCCCATTAATTAAGGAGACATATTTATACACATAGGCTAAAAAGCAGGCTAGAGATGTATATATTCATGTTACGTTTTTCTGTCCAGTGATGCTGAGAGCATGTAGATGTTTTACCTTTGAGACAAAATGAGAAAGATGGGGTGCAATGGCAGGTGATTTGTCCTTGCCTAAATAGGAAGTGGAAAGTTACATCAAAGGGAACAGTCATTCTACAGTGTGGAGATGTTCTTCCTTTGATGCCTTAATTTTAAAGAAATGTTACCATAATGAAGCAGAATATTTAACTCATGGAGGTTTTTTTACAGCAGTACCGTGCATGTGTAAAGTAAAACCTGATAGTATCTTCAAATAGTTCTCCCACTTTTTTAAAAGAGCGAAGTGGGAGGGTTTTAATGATAAAAATATAAAGAGTAGGATTCCTATCATCTTTAACAAGAATAAGCTGCATTTCCTAGTTTATTACCTTCGACAGATTGTAGTTCTTAAGAAATCAAAGATAGCTTCAATAATGCTACATATCAATCATTAGAAAATGACTTCTTTTATAATCATTTCACTTTGATCAACAACTGTTCTCCATATTTTTTTTAAAGATCACTATTGTCAGTTAGTTGGATCAAGAAATTGACTTGGATGTTGCATGAAACTTGCCTCTGACATGCTTTGCCATTTTGAAAGAACTTTAGGGCAAATTTTGCATAATGAGATTAAAAGTAAGGAAAATTTCCAAGTTATCAGTCTCATCTATTTCAGTAGAACTGTCACTTATAACCTATGGGAGGAAACCAAACACAATATAACCAACAACAGGAAACTTGTTACTTCACACAGTGGTCTAACCCTTGGTTTAACTATTCTTACTACTTTACATTTCCTATCTTGAAAAAAAATTGAACTGCTTTAAAATTTCCCCTACACCTGACTCTTAAAGTAGCATAAAATCTCTTCTTCCCTTCACATAGGAATTTTGAAATCTTTTCCTTAGTGTAAATTATTGTTCTTCAGAAGAAAAACCCTTAGTTCTTTTGATTTGTCTTCCTACTCCTGGGTATCTGCCAATACCAGCCTTCTCTTAAACAGTCATTCTCCTCTCCATCTAGTATAACTTATTGGGCTCCCTTTCAAAATATACTTCCAGGTTTGGGAAACAACTTAAGTGCTCAATGACAGATGAAAGTATAAAAATGATGTGGCACATAAACACAATGGAATACTATTCAACTAAAAGAAATGAATTCTTCCATTTGTGACAACATGGATGGAGCTGGAGGGGATTATGCTAAGTGAAATTAGTCAGAAGAGGAAGGACAAATGCTAGATGATTTCACACATATATGAAATACAGAGCAACAAAACAGAGCAATGTATACTGAACAAAACAAAGCCTAGAAATATGCCTGCAGAATTCAGCTACTAGAGGGGAAAGGAAGGGCTGGTAACAGGGGAAAAGGGGCTCTGGTGGTGGATGTAGCATGGTGATGTGTGAACCCTAAGCCCTGGATCATATACAGTGCTGTAAATCATTGTTACCTCACTTAGAAAAAAATCTTTAGGTTAGCAAAAAAGTAAAATGGGCATCTCAGAATTTATGCACCTTTGGTAACTTGCAGAAATTGTTGCTGTTGAGAACTGTCCTTTATAAACAGCTTTCTTGTGCTCTACTCTTTTTGGTGATAGTGGGTCTGTGACCTGAGGACCTACCTTTGCCAAGGTCTCATCATCAAGGTGATTCTTCTGAATCACGTGTTGAAGTGCAAAATAAATTTTTTCCTGAAGCTTTTGGACTTTTCTTGGTTCTATCAGCCAGGCTCGATCTGACAAAGGAAAAGAATTAGGTGAGAGAAGAGGGAATGTTAGTTTTGTTTAATGTTACCTAACAGGTTAAGTACTGAATTTCAGATTCATTTCAAATTACTTAGCTCTGACTTTCTTCTGAAGACATGTGATTATTTATTTAAAACCTAAATATTTTATATTCTGGCTTCCAATACTAATATATTAATATAGAAAATCAAGATGGGATAAAGGCACATAGTGCAAATAAACTCATATTTTTTTTTATCATCTGTAATCATTTGCATCTCTTAATCTTCTATACAGCTGCTGAGATTTCCTTTCAACATAAAGGTTCATTACTTGTGAATAAAATAAATTATGTTAAGAAAATTTCTTGTCCAAGAACATTTTTTGTATTCAAGACCCGCCTTTACTTTTATAAACTATATTATTAATGTACATAGCATAAACAGGAATGCATTTCAAAAATCCAATACTGAGTACTCTTTCTATATTTAATTTTTCAAATGGTATATAGGATAATATCTTTCCTCTCCCATTCTCTTTTTCTTTTTTCTTTCTTCTCTTCTTCGCTTTATCTCCCTTCCTTCCTCCCTTGAAGCCTTACACACCACAGTGACAAAATTCTGCCCAACATTAATGCCTTAGGTTCAATGAAGAGTCCCCAAAGGCTGACAAATACTCATGGAAAAGAACTTGGCCATGAGCCCTCTGAACACAGTTCAGATCAGGTGAGAAATTCAATTCTGTAATCTTAGACAGGGCAAGGGCAAGTTTAGCCCACAGGTAAGCAACTCCTTACGTAAGTGAGCACAAAAGTCTTCAGTGACAATTGTCAATCAGAATAAATTAAGTTTTCCTCCCCATCCTTTCCCTAAACTCTCTGGAGCTGAATAAACAAGTGGCTATTATGGTAAGAACTGGGGGGAAGGGTGAGTCTGGTGTGTGAGGAAGCAAACAGTAGGTTCAGGAACAGCTCTTCCCTCTCTTTTTGAATATGGCTCCAGGCTATGGTGGCAAACACACTCTTTGGGGTTTCTGAATGTGTGCCTGAGGGTGGATATGCTCTCAGGAAGGTTCCCCACTAGGTAGAGTAAGCCAAATGTCTTGCTTCTAAACTCAGCAGAATTTTATGGTGCATTTTCTCTCTAGATAAAACTAACCTTCTCAGGTGATTTCTAACAGGTTAGCCTTCCTTATGAGGCAGTTATCTTTATGGATTGTTTATATTGGATATACACTGTTTTAAATATTGGCTGCTTAGTATTTACTAGCTTATCACAAACATACCTCAGAGGACAATGACTGCTGCAATACTTCCTTTGAATAAGCAGGAGTCAGAGTGAAACCACCTCTCTTATCACAGACCATAGGCTTAGAACCAATCTTCTACCCAAGTGTACTCAATGGGAATAATCCAGTGAAATGAGAAAATGTTGGGAGGATCATTATTTGGCACGTGGTTGCTACCAGAGATAAATATTTCCTGCCACTTCTTTCATTTACTGTTGTGTTACTTAGCCAATATCTGGGCACACTCGATATGGGCACACATTTACACACAACATTTACTTGTGTGTTTACAGGTCTGGGAAAGATTCTTGAATTTAAAGTCAAATCAAAACAAAAAAGCCCAGACAATCAGCTTGATTCAGACAGAAAATCAAAAGAAACTCTTAGTAATAATATTCTAAGTGATAATGAATTTCCTTTTTTTTTTTGCCAATAAAGTGGCTAAGTAAAAAATAGAAGCAAATGAAAAAATCTTCATAAGATTTAAAAATAAGTAAAGCCTGATTTAAAAAATGCAGAGATTGGTATTATTGGTTGACATAATAAGGAAGGCATGTCACGGTATACCACTAGAGGTGAGGTTAATTTCTTCCAATCTCATTGAAAAATATGTTAGGGCAAATAAAAGAGATCTAGTCCTAGAGATAAATGGGTTACAGAAGGAATGAGTTTCTTGACTATAAAAATTAGAAGGAATATATCTTCATGTCCACTGAGAGCTGTCAACAACTCTGCTATCTCTTGACTCAAAATTGAACCAGCCAGCCAGGGTGTGACTATGACTTCTCATTCTGGTTGAAGAAGAGGTGCATGCATTTCATAAGATTCTATACATTTCAAGTTGGTATTCACTTATAAAAGAATTTCAATTGTCATAGTTCTTTTTGATCTATAAATGTCACTACTTCGAGTCCTTGATTTTTTGTTGTTGTTGTTGTTGTTGTTGTCTATCATGTTGCATTTAAGAGCTACACCAGCATTTTATCATCATGAAGTCCATTTTCATGTTTAAGGTCAGAGACAGGACCAGGAAGCTTACCAGGACATCAGAGGTCCTTCCCTTTCCAGTCCTTAGGAGGAGCCTTTTCTCCCTTTGCTGTCCCCACCTGATAATATTGCTAATTTTTTTAAAAAGGCAATAGCATTTACCTGAAGTGAGCACAGAAATCCAGGAGGAAAGTCAGTAAAAAGGTATTTAAAGAGGAGAAAGTTTGTTTCACTTATTTTCATCCCTATATTAAGATCTTTCATTCAGGTATATTTCTACCAAGTCTCACCTTTGTGAACTTTCTCCTCCACTGTGTTTGTTTTAGTCTTAAATTCAAAATAGAACATAGTTTATAACTCAAGGCCACTGTTAGCCTTCATTATCTGTTAAGGGATCATTTTGCTTGTCTGAATCGATAGTGATCTTCACCTCACATGGAAGAAGCATCACTCTAATTTTGCTTTAAGGACAAAAATTGGTCATTTTAGTTAACTTAAGGCTGTTACTTCAAACTGTCCAAAATTAACAAAAGTTTACTAGAGAAAATATGGCTCTTTAAAAGTTCCTCCTGAGCAGCTTGGTTTAGGCAGTTGTAATCCATCCCAGTAATAGCAAAACAGCATTGGGAAGAAATGCAAAGACTTCAGACCTCCTTACCTGGAGATATCAGAACAGCCGAGGAGAACAAAGCAATCTCCTCCTCAGTCAGTTGCAAGGAACATAAATTCTTTGCAAAGTCAAATGCTTCATTCACCAAGTCATCAGAACCTATAAAAAATGCAAATTAAATAAGAATACTTAAACAAATGAAGCCATAGTAAGAAAATCCCATAATCAAGTAGCAAAAGGGAGGGGTACAAAGAATGGCAGTGGGTGACTATGAGTCCCTAGGTGGTGGGGGTAGTATGGTAATAATATATCAGAAAAGGTGTGAACCAGGACCTTTAATCACATGGTGTTGTAAAGCAATGTTACTTTAAAAATAGTTTTTAAAACTGCCATTTTCATGTTGCACTTAATAAAGAGGTCATTCAAGGATTTGCATTCTAGTAAGTGATTTAGTGGTAATTATAGAATGAAGAAATCGGGCCACATCTTGACCAGGTAATGAATGTTAACATTATCAATGAGAGCAGATGGAAATTGTGTGTATCCATTGTGACATCTGAGAATACCTAACCTGAATCTAATCTTCTATGTCTGAACCTAGTTCCAACTAAAAAAATTTAAGTAAGTAATTTGGGACTCCTTTAGTGTAGGGCCTCGTATTCACAAGAAACCTAAAACATTACCGATCAGAGGCTGAGGGCTGTCTTTATTTATGGCACTTTAGTCTGGCAATGTAAGGAAGCTAGGGGGTCTTAAAGTGAGGTGTTAACAGTTTTTTCACAAAACTGACAAGTATTTTTCAATTTGGTAACATCCTTGGAACTGTGATTGAGGAGATAGTATTCATTTATTTTTATTTTCCAATGAATGAGTAGCAGGTCACTTTGCTTAGGCATTGTGAATTTTAGCACAATAGTTTTTCATCTCTACACAGATCCCTAGTAAATGTTTATTTTATGAGGCTGGAAATATACCCACATTGCTTGCCAAGGGTTTTCCTTCTTTCTTGAAAATCTAGCCTTGGAGATGACATGGATGTATATCAACCGCAGAAGGGTAAACTTGCCAGCCCTGATGGGCTTGCTGTTGGCTACTGTATCAACTAACAGTGCAGAAGGTGAAAGGGCAGTGGCCTTCTTTGATGTCCACAAGCAGGACATGGAACAAATGCAGCTATCAATCCTTAAAACCTTTCCTGGCATCAGTCCACCTTTGCTAATGTCCTTTTTAACCATGCCAAGCACTGAAGATTGAATGTGAATGCTACACAATTCCACACAGGGATGGGCTCTGTCCCTGTCCCCCCACAGGAATCATCTGGGGATCATTCCTGACAAGTTGCCACCCATTCTGCCTGTGCTCCCAGAATTCATGAATCAACGAAAAGCAAGCCCTTCCTTGGTGACAAGTAAAGAAGCTCTTCTTTTCAGTGTCCTAATTATAATTATGAATTTATACAAGAAATATAAGTCACCTCTGTGGACCACAAGTCTTCTGCCATAATATGCTTTGTAAAGCAATAAGCTAGAAGGTAAGAGACAAGCTGGTCCTACAAAGGATGAACTAGAAAGTATCCATCTTCCTTCCCGAATCAAGCATGGTTGGCCTCAACAGGGCTTATGGTTCCCTCTTCCTTATATACTAGGATGTCTAATTGTGAGATTTGGAGAATTAAGATGAAATGCTGGAGGATCACTTGGTGCAACCCTTTTGGAATAATGAGACTCATTAAAGAATCAAGGTTTTTTATTTACTGCTTACAATCCTAGTGGAAAAACTAATGACAGCTAGTAAAATTACATCTGAAACAAAGAAAAACTTACCTAAGGCTTTGAACATTTGCATTCCTCCATATTTTCCTTCAAACAGAACGGTGTTGTTTAATGGGTTGAAGGCACGGCACATTCTCACTAAAACCACTTCCAAGCAACCTAGGAGGGAAAAAAAATATATATAAAGCATACATGTATATGCAATAATAAAGAGTTAAAAGACTTCCAAAAACTTTAAAACACAGAGAACCATAGATACATAGATACAAAAACTCAAGATTCCTTCCCTAGTAAAAAAATAATTATTAGAAATAAAGTTTTCTTGATGCATATATAAATAATTAAAGATAAAATACACTACAAATGTGGTTAAAATGGAGAGTAGCAATATTTTTTAAAAGAGCATGCAGTTCTTTCTATTTTCTTGGCTGACTATTATTAAAATCATCTTCCACTCTTAAATTTACACTTAATGACAGACAGTCCAGGAAGCAGGTTAAGTCTAGTCTGCTAACTTCAGCAAGATATTTGCTATTGGAAGAACTTGCTCTCTGCTTCCGTTTTGAACATAGGCATGTATATTTCAGTATTTGATGACTTTTAGTGGGACTTCTTCATTGTGTATCTTGGGTAACTTGTATTAGATGTTCTTTGAATGGAGGGCTTCTATGTCAAATACGTTTTGGCAAACTGTTGAGTGTCACCTCACTCTATGGATTTACAAATCATTATTCACAGGATGAATGTTAACATGTAGGAGTTTGTTTAACTTTGGTGGGTGCAACATTTCTCTGAATTCCCTCTAGCCTGATGACGGCAGGACTCTTGTCTGCAGACTCCTGTGCTTGAAAGTCCAAGGAAGCTGTGCTTATCTTATGTGTTCACAGGGCTCCGAGGTCCAGAATTGTCCCTGGCACATTATAGGTACTTACTGAATATTAACTGAATTTATTTATTTTATTTATTTAAAATTTATTTATTTATACATACAGAACTGGGGTATAGTGCAGGCCAGAGGTTCAGGGCAGTGAGAGGATTCACCAGAGACAGAGTGGGGAGCAAAACAAGCCTACTGATGAAGAACACTGCTGAGGAGAGCAGTGGGCGGATCAGGAGAGGTCTGCTAGGCCATGTGGGTCACCTCCGGGGTGGGAATTGAACTTATGCTAAAGTGGCTTTAGCTTCGTAGTGGTGTACTTTAACCCACTGCGCCACCAGGGAGGGCCCTGAATAAATTTATTTATTGAATAAATGAACTTACTACCTTTGTTTCCCCCTTTGAATATTTATTGACATCCTGTAGAATTACTGTTATGCAGTTTCTCCTCTTTTTAGAGAAATGGGCTTTTCCACCACAGAGTTTTAGAAGGTGACAATAAGTGACAAATTTGCATGAGGGCCTCATTTGGGTGATTTTATATTTAGGTCTGTTTTATTTCTTTTGCTTTGCTAATTTTTCTTTGCCTTCTCTCACACGTCACAGATTACAAGTACTGACGTGTAGGAAGTGATTTGCAAATGGTAACTGAAGCAGTATTTTCCTCACAAAATTGAAAGCATCATTTAAGTATTTACACTATGAAAGGTACTTTCCTTGGCCCCTTTCATTCATTTTTCAATTTGCTTCTTGCAATACTATTTCAGGTGAATTTTAGCTTTTCCTAATAGATGAGGCTCTCAAGAGGTTTTTATATCAGAGTTTTTATATTAGGATCAACATTTTAATGACAGGTAGAAATGTTAACTCTTGTATGATCTAATGGTACACAAATGACTCATAGACTGGTATTCTCTGAGACTCAGTTACAAATACAATACGCCATGTTCCCCTCTAGGGGATACAGATTCCATGGGCCAAAGATGACATCTATGACTCAGAATGGCCAGAAGCTCCTCTGACACTGGTTACAATTGCGAGTTTGGAATTATTCTTAGTTCTCGCTTATGTTTTACAAATGAGGAAAATACTATCTTGAGGGGGTTGATCAAAGTCACATATAAAGTGTGGCAGGCTCTATTTTTCAAAGAGAGGCACTAAAAATAGCTTTTATTTCACATGTTATTTTAGAACCTTACCATTCCTCTGCTGAGCTATAGAGCCTGTGTCTCCTACCCCTGAACCCAGCTGTACCTTCCTGTCTGTCATGACTAATAGAATGTGGTGGACATGATACTATGTGCCTTATGAAGCTAAGCCAGAAAAATACTATGTACTTCTGCTGTGTCCTCTTGGAAGCTAGCTTTTCAAACCAACAACTGGGCTGTGAGAAAGTCCAAGAAGCCTGTGGAGAAACTCCTATGGCTAGGACTTGAGACTGCCAGCACAGGGCTCTGGCTGACCTCTGGGCCGGTAACCAGCACAAGTTGCCTGCTAGGTGTTTAGTCAGTTTGAAAGGAACTCCCCCTGCATTTAAAAAAGGACTTTTGTTGTCTGAAGTAAGTTTTGAGAGCTGAGTCAAAATTTGCATTTTGTCTGAGTCAAAATTTGCATCAACTTATGTCACTTGTTAAAGCAACACCAGCAACTTAGAATAAATATTTCATTCAGTCCATTTATTGGCTTTATGATATTGAACTCACTCCTTGTCTGAATCTTAACCTCCTTTTCATAACAAAACACTGACCTCTCAGGATTAAATGGGATGTCATAGGTAAACAAAGACATACATATGTATGTTATAAAATGTGTAATTCTTATCATTTAATATGTGTAATTCTTATTATTGCTACTGTATCCCAGGATCACAAAGGTTAGCATAAATACCATGGTCCATTTTTATTTTCTATTTTCAAACAGGTCTAGGGAGACAATATTTTCCCTGTTTAGTAATAATATCTCTAAAATTAATCATGTGCAGAATTTCTGGAACTACTTCCTAAGTGGAGAGTGCTTGTATGAGAGAGTGGGGTTGGAAAGATTAGAACAACGGGAAGTTTCCCCTATGTGTGCTGGCTGCAGGTTAGCCTCATTAAAAAGATTGGAAATGACCATGGAGGCAGAATGCAGCTACCCTGGATTTTCTCCCTCCACAGAAGGCAAGTAGTACATTTAAGAGCCAGCTCAGCAATTCAGCCACCTTGACATGCTAATTACTTGTTCTGCCTGTCAAGCTTGGTAACTCAACCTCTGCAATTAATAGCTCCACTTTCAATAACCAAAATTGTATTTGACTTCAAAGGGGAAATTAATGAGTATCAGGGCATTTTTATAACAGAGTTTGCTTTGGGGACATGGCTGACAGTGTGGGTGGTAGAAATGAGCCATAGATTGGAAGGAGGATTTTCTAAAATCAACACAGAGCTGAGGACCAGCCACATCCTGGTCTAAAATAGTCCCCAACCCCATCAGTTTCCTCTTTGCTTACCTGACTTCAGAAGTAGAATTTGATCATTTTGACAGAGCTCCATGAAACCTGTTATCCGCTTTGCAAACTCCACCACATACTGGATGGCATGAGTGATCTGGATGGCGCATTGCTGCCACAGAGCTTCCCTGGACTTCAGGAGAGAAAACACACATGTGTGTGGAGCAAAGAACAACTTGGAGAGTCAATGACATACTCAGGCTTGCCCCATTGGTGCTTAAGCACCTGTCACTTGAAATCCGTGATGAGATTTACAACATTCCCTTTAAAGACAGACAATATTTTCTAAGATAATGGTTTAATCTCTTTGAATTTTGCTACACTACAATTATGATAGCATTGAGGTTAAAATAATGGGAAGACTGCAGTTGTATCTGAAGATATTTGTAATTTCTTTATACATTTTTCACTTTTCTTCTTTCTCCTGAATGTAAGCTTAATTCATTTTAGAAAAATAAACCCTTGCACTGAAGAATATGTATTTTATTAAAATATCATTACTGGTAGATCTTGCAAATGAGAATCTCAACCCCAAGAAAAGCAATGTGAATACAGAATATTAACAATACAACAACTATGAGTTCCTTCTCTTAAAACTTTGCGATAAATACAAAGAAATAAAGTAATGATAGTAAAATCATAATAACAACGCAGAGTAAGGTCTCCTGTAGCTTTGGTCTTTTATTAATATGTAAGGCAAGGAAAGGCATATTGAGTGCATATTTTTACAGTGAAAATTTGTCACTATTATTGTTGCTGTGATTTCCCAATGGCTCCAAGAAGCCATGAGATGTCCCCAACAAATCTAATTTATGCACAGTTTCCCATGTCACTCAAAGAGGACAGTAAGGCTCAGCTGGGGTGGTTTCGCCTTCCAGAGGCCACCTGGCAATTTGATCATCTGTATGTGAGGGAGCTGCTACTGGCATCTAGTGAGTAGACACGAGGGAGGCCGCTAAATACCACATGATGCACAAGACAGTCTTGACAGAAAAGTATTGTGTAGCCCAAAATATCATTGGTGCCAAGGTTGAGAATGCCAGAAATAGTGAAACCACAGGAAACTTTCCCAGAGTACCTTGCTTTGATATGCTTTAATTTCTTCATAGGTATGAGTTTGCCATGCCAGCTGGTGTAGCTCCTCCATGGTGTACTGACATGTCTCCAAGTGGGACTTAATGATGTTCTGTGCAATTCGATCTATGAGAAAGAATATCAATCAAGAGTTTATGAAAACTTCCAGTCTGCCCAAAGATACCTACCCTCAGTGTGTTTACTATAGGAATCTTTTCTGGGGATGTTCCAGTGGTGTTAGGGTGTCTTTAATACTACTGTGTATTTTAAAATCTCCAGGCAAATGCATTATTACCTTTTTGAAACTTTCAGTCCTTTAATGAAAATTTACTGCCTTTTTTTTTTTTTTAGAAACAAACCAGGAATGCTTTGAGCTGTAAAGTGTCCAAATAAGGAAGTTATCGTGTGTTTTACTTTTTTTGGCCTAAAGGTCCACAAACAGTTTTGACATTTATCCTCTAAATCTTTATTTCAAAAACCACTAGACCTGTGTTGTTTATCTCAAGAAGGGGAAATTAACATATAAATGTACTAGTTTATTCAAAAAAGTATTTTTTAAGCAATAACTTAAAAATGGTCTCCATAGAGGAAAGAGAGAATAGAGGGGTATGGATAGAAGCAGTTTTCTCTGATTGATGATCTTCTCATAGATTTGACTTTGAAATCATGAGGATACATAACATAATTCATAATAGGAGGGAGGTATAAATGAAAAGTATTAACTTCTGAGTTCAAATTATTGAAGTTTGGCCACCCAGGCCATTATGCTATCTTTTCTAATCTATTACATAATGGTATTTTCTTATAAAGGAGAAACATCATATACCACTCATATAAAAAGTAGTAAAAGCTAATCATCTTTTAGAACCAAACTTATCACCTTGGGGTTTGGAAGTGTGAAAGTTGAAAGACAGAATTGACATAAGAGCTCTTCTTACACCTACTATGTATGATTCCCTGAAGTCGGAGAGCTGGTAACAAGGCCCCTTAGAATCCCATCTGCTATTTGAACACACAAAGAAGGTGACATCTTAGGAAACCAAAGTACACAAGATCTCTGTGTTGGATGTGAAGTGAATGAAGATGACCAAATTTTCTGCTAAAAATCTGTTCTTGACTCAGAGAAATGGAATTTTCTAGTTTCAGGTTGTGACATTTCAAATAACACTTCTGTTCTATCTAAAGAACCATGTTTTGTTTCTTTCACAGTACACAGGTAACTCTCACAGCAAGACTTAGGTGACTTTACTTTTTTTAAGCTTGCTAAGCTTCTGGTGTGAAATAGAGTTTTATGATGTAGGGAGTAAAAAAATATGAGCTTAAATTTGTAATGAACATTCCAAGCTAACTTACTTTGGTACATTATAATAACTTGAAAAAAAAAAAAAGTCAGTCACGATGATTTTTGTTTGTATACTGTGTGGTTTGTCATCACCGAAGCCATGTGATGACTCAAAAGTATTTACTTTTGGAATCAGTGCTACTGAGGGAAAGTATTTCAATATTCATGTTTTTCAATCAAAAAGTGACAGATGTACAAGATAATATAAACCACTAACTTCTGATTATAGTTATGCTCCATTGGATCCATCACTATGCACTGAACAATTCTAGTCTTTCATTGCTGATCATATTACAAAATTCTTTCTTTAGAAAAACCCTGTATTCAAAATTTTATGGCATATCTCCCAATGTTGTTAAAAAAAGGGCAAGAATTACCTATATATCATGTTAAAATAGATTAGTATGTCATGGTTCATCATTTTTCAATTTCACTTGGGCAGTCTAATTATTTAGAATCTAAAAATATCCATTCCTCTGTAGATATATAATGAAAACATAAGATTTTATAGCTCTATAGTTTTCAAATCTTTATCTTCTTGGTAGTGTTTGTTTTCATCTTCAGAGATTTGCTGATTTTCCAGTAATTTACAGGCTTCAAGGTTTGTAAGCAAAACTAAATTGCCATCCAAGTTGCATTATGAAAAACTCTATTAATTCATGATAGATACTGGAATGACTGGACAAGGTTTAAGAAGTCTCTGACATTGTGCCACCAGAGCTTAGGGTTCTATGAGGTATGGGCAGTGGGTATAATAAAGTCATGAGTGGGGTAAGCAAAACTGGGAGCTCAAGTCACAAGTATGCTTTAGGGCTCAGTTCAGATGTACATTTCTGGTGAAGGTTTCTTTCCTTCCCTGAGTCCTCAGTAGAAGAGTCAGCTGCCATTCATTTAGATTCTCCCCCTTCACCCCACCTCTCCAAAGAGCTCTTATTCTAGTCAGACTTGCACTGTAACTATTTGTGTGGAACTATTTGTTCCATATACTTCAGAACTATGAGCTCTTCAAGAACTTGACAGAAAGCCAGCCTACTTCCTTATATTAACTTAACATATGGTTATTATTTATAATTTTTTTTTTGAGAAGCTATACCAGGTTGCGGTACAGACGAAAAAAAAGCATCTTCTCTCTTTTTTTATTTATGAATATAGAACTAGGGTTCAGGCCAGAGGTGCAGGGGTGATGAGAGGATTCACCAGAGATAGATTGGGGAGCAAAATAGGCAGATCAACGAAGTACACTGCTGAGGGGGGTAACAGGCAAAACAGGAGAAGTCTACTGCGCCATGTGGGTCACCTCCTAACTGGGGTTTGGAGTTGCACTGAAGCGGCTGCAGATTGCTTGCAGTGTTGCATCCTAACCCACTGCGCCACCATGGGGGGCCCACTTTTCTCTTTTTCAAAGGATATTACAACCATATATCACATCATGTCATGTCATATCAAATCATATCAACATATAACACAGTTCTTAAGTTACTGTGGGAACTCAAAGAAGAAAGTGTTCTCAGTCTGGGGAAGAAGCAGAATGGACACAGAAAAGTTTTCTGTTAATCTGGGTCTAAACCAGTGTTTGAAACAAGGAGAAGAGAGAGATGTACTCTCAGGTGGTGAGAATGACACTACAATGGCACAGGTAGAAAACTAGCTGATTTAGATGATTCCTGATACCATGTTGGACATCTTTATAACCGTGACCATTTATAATCTCAAATTCTCTTTTACTGAGCAAAAATGTGAAGTTCAGCGTGTGACATTTTGAAATAGAATCTGCCGTGTCTGGAAAGCTGTCTGTGTGCTTGCAACACAGATGATATAGAAGAGATGGGGAGAAATGAGACCAGGTTTGGAAACTGTGATTGGATACCAAACATCTGAGTAAGCAGGAAAAAGGAACGTGGATTATATCTTGTAGGTGAGAGAGAACTATTGGGAGCTGTGATCCCAGAGAGTGACATGGTCAGTTTCCTGTTTTAGAAAGGCCATGATGGCAAAGACAATGAGGTTGCACTAGTCAGTGCAGGAGATTAATCAGGTTGTTGTAAAACTTTAGTCAAGGTATGAGAAGGGTCTGGATTAGGGAAATATGACAGAAATGGGCTGGAGGGGCTGGATTCAAGACAATGCTGAAAGAGGATGTACAGGACCAACAGATAAGGGGGAGGGAGGGAAAGAGAGAAGAGAACATTTAATATAATAGATGCTCAACTAATGTTGACTTAGTAAATATAATTTTGAAAATGTCAGTCTATTCATCCATCCGTTTATCCATTCATCCATCAAAACATACAGTTTTCCTTCCCTCCTTCTTTCCTGCCTCCCTCCTTCCCTTCCTTCCTTTCTTCCTCTGCTCTATTTCACAAAGGATTTTAGAAAGCTTAAACTTTCACAATGGTTTCGAAGTCAAACTTTAGACATGTAAATTATTTCCCATATCCTTCAGTGAGAAATAAGAAGACAAATGCTCTTTAGCATAAGAGATGTAAGTATCAACGAAGGCTAAGACCCAGCAGCAGAATTTGCAGAACAGTAACTTCTCTACAAGTGTACAGTACAAAGGTGAGCCAAGTGCAAAAACTGACCTGACCCTCTCAAAACTCAGGTGGATAAACCATGCTGTAATGCTAGACTTGGTCCCATGAGAGAAGGTCTGAGTGTTCATTTTGTTGATTAGAAAGATGCATGAACATCAGGGGAGATGGTTTGCTTGAACTGAGAGTCTGCAGTTGTGAAAAGGGAAGGATTTAACAAGGGACAAGGGGACAGACAAAGAGTACAGTATGCAAAGTTCCTGTTGAGAGCCAAAGGAACTTTCAAGAGTCCTTGTCTGGAAAAATAGAAAAGGTAAGAGCAAACGTGGGCCTCTCCAGGGACTAACCACATGAGAAAGTCCAGACAAAGAGACTGCGGGAAAAGAGCAAAGTATATGGAATCTTTCTGGGCAATCACACATCCTTCATCCGTTTACCTGACTTGGATTGCAGTTGCTTCTCAAAGCCCAGTTTTTGTCAGACTCTTTAGCTGGCTTGGGCTGCAGATGGCACATGTTGAAGTAATCAGCATGCACCCAACTGGGAATAGATAGGACCCAGATGACAGACTACTGGGAAATTCTACCACCTCCAGAAGCGATGCCCATAGACTCTACACTTTGCTTTTCCTGAGAGCAGGGAAGAGGCTAGAATGTTCTTAAGTCAATATGAAAAGGAGTTTAAGTAGTTAAGATTCTGATTTTTTTAAATTATAAATTTATTTTTTAATATCATTCTTCATTTTGTGCATTTTTTTCATCTCGTTTCTAATGATTCTGATATTTTTAGTGAGTGATTTTTTCAACTCACTGACAGTATGTGAACTGCTTTGATAGTTAATACAATGATGTTGGGGAGTGAGGTAAAGCCATATGTTCAGTCCAGCTATCATTCCTTTCCAGTCATGAAAAAGTATGCATTGATGATGGCAAGGAAACAGGGGGTATAATTACAGGCTGTTATGATCCTTATTTTGTATTAGCCAACTTCATGAAAAATAGCTTACTTTTCATTTTTATTTCCTCTTCTCCTTTCTACTTCCATATATATATATAAAACTTTTGTGTGATTCAAATAAAAAAAAAGGATTTTAAGGATGTATAATTACCACCAAACTCATTAAGTTGTATACATTAATAGGTACAATTATACCTCAATAAGAGGCTCAAAACTAATTATTATAGGTAAATGTACTTCTCCATCATTTTTGATGAGAAAATATAAAAATTGTTAAAATTGTCATAATTTCTTAG